AGAGAGAGAGAGAGAGAGAGAGAGAGAGAGAGAGAGAGAGAGAAAGAGATTGAGAATTCAATCATTTCTGAAAAATGCACTTTTGAGACAAGGAGGAACAAGAATATATTTGTGAGTTTGCATCATTAATTGGCATTTCTTGTAGAGATAGAATCATAATTTAAGATGCAGAATTGGCAAAGACCAAACTCAGAATAAAAAGGAAAAAATGAATTTCGAAACCAGGAATCATAGCCCTAAGGACATTGAAAGATTTAGAAAACTTGACAATCTCTTTATTAATGAATTATAATAATAACATCCAACTTTTAGTGGTTTGCTGATATTATTTTAGATGTCAGTCCCACAACTCAATTGATTCTTTCATTTTCGAATTGAATTGTATGATGATTAAGTGAGATAAAATTACAAAGAATGGACATTGAAGACATATGTTATTATGATTAGAGTTACCCTCTTTATTTTTTCATAAAATCTTCATACTCAATGCTGAAGGAAGGCAGGAAAGGAGAGCATTTCCCACTAAGCTACCAGGCTTGAGAAGAGATGCTCTCAAAATAAGGTGTGGTTAAAAAGCAACTTTAAATTATCAAAGAAATTAATGATGCAATGAAATAAAACAACAAATTATTGCAACGTTTGGGAAGATGGTCAGGCAATAGAAGAAAACATAAGGTGTCAGATGGCAAATGGTTTTCAATTAACTGCAAATCAAAGGCTAGTGGTTCTAACCTACCCAATGGCTCCCAGGAAGAAAGGTATAGCATCTGTTTGTGTAAAGATTACATCAAGAAAATCTTATGGGGTAGTTCTACTCTGTAGTGCCATGATTCAGGAGCAAACATAAAGGCAGTTCAAAAGAAGGTGCATAGAAAGTGTTAAATGAAACATTGCTATAAAATGATAACTTACATTCTCAAAGACATTAAATAATATACGTTTACTTTAACAGCAGTTAGCTTCTATTGGTAGATGATGATGTTACATTCCATGGAATCGATTCTGACTAATAGCAATCAGAATGAAATGCTGTCCAGTCCTGCATCGTCTTCACAAGTGTTGTTACACTTGAGCCCATTGTTGCTGCTTTTTTGTTGATACGTCTCAAAGATGTTCTTCCTCTTTTTCCCTGACCCTCCACTTCACCAAGCATGATATCCTTCTCCAAGGACTGGACCCTCCTGAAATATGTGCAATCTATGAGAGATGAAGTCTAGTCATCCTGGCTTCGAAGGAGAGTTCTGGCTGTACTTCTTCCAACACAAACATGTTTGTTCTTCTGGCAGTTCATGGTACTTTTAATATTCTGCCACACCATAACTCAAATGCATCAACTCTTCTGTCGTCTTCCTTATGGACTGTCCAACTTTCAAATGCATAGGAGGCTACTGATAATATCCTGGCTTGGGTTAGGGACATATTTGTCTTCAAACTGACACCTATACTCTTGGACACTTTTAAGAAGTCTTTTGTAGTAGAGTTGCCCAATGCAATATGTCATATGATTTCTTGATTGCTGATTACCTGAGTATTGTTAGTGGACCCAAGTAAAATGAATGCCTTGACAACCTCAATCTTTTCTCTTTTTATCATGATGTGATATCAGTACAGTGGTGAAGATTTTGTATTCTTTAATCAGAAAAATTGAGGTGCAACCCATACTGAAGGTTGTATGTCTTAAATCTTGATCAATAAATCCTCTTCACTTTAAGCAAGCAAAGTTGTGTGCATACTACAGATTGTGTGTGACTTCACCTAACTCTGATTCTACACTGTTCTTCATAAAATCATCATGAAAGATGTGAAAATAGCATAAAAGTAGCAGAACAAGCCCCAACCAGGATAGATCTCAAAAGAAAATCATCAAGACATAATAATTGAACTTTCCAAAATCAAAAACAATAAGCTAAGAGCTACTTGGAAAAAACAGAAAGTTACCTGTAAAGGAGAATGGGTAAGACTAAATTCTGATTTCTCAGTAGAAACCACGTAGGAAATAAGGCAATGAGATGACACATACAAAACTCTGAAAGAAAAAAAAAACCAAAAAAACCTGCCAACCCTGAATTATATACCCTGGAAAGCTGTCCCTCAAATACAGCAGAGAAACTAGGAGATTTACTGCTAAAGAAAAATTAGAGGAATTTGTAATGACCAGATCAAAAAAAAAAAAAGAAAAAAAATGTTATAGGGTGTTCTTTGGACTGAAAACCATCAACAGCACAGACAAAAACCTGAAATTACCATACATGATGACACCACCCAGAACTCACTCCAGATATGTTGTCGCTATGTGCTGTGGAGTGGGTTCCGACTCATAGCAACCCTATGAAGGGTTTCCGAGGCTGGGAGCAGAAAGTCTCATTTTTCTCTCATGGAACAGCTGGTCGTTTCTAACTGCTGACTGTGATATTAGCAGCCTGATTCATAACCACTACACTACCAGAGCTCTTAATCCCGATATAGAATTATTTAAAGTAAAACAAACCTACAAAAGTGAAAATAGGGAGCCAGAGATATCAATGCATAATGAAGTCAACTGCAAAGCATAAAGA